AGCAGGATATTCTTTCATCTTCTCATTGATCTCTCTTACTTTTAGTACCTAAATGCATTTACTCCAAAGGCACCCAAAAACAGTATATGCTGTTGACCTACAGCAATTTAAGGGGAGGCATAAGGAGGAAAAGAGAAGCTTATCCCAGACAGAAAATAACTCCTTTTGATGAGCTCTGCTGAAGAACGCCAGTGCCTATCCTCAGAAGACAGGAACCACATTTCCAAGCACTCAGAAATGCAATAAATTTTCACTCACTTATATCAGCATGATTTCAAACTGTACATCCACCTAAAACTGAGAATGAGTACTCTTAGGGAAAAAAAAAAATTAAAGCAAAAGACTATAGTGAAGACTTCCAGCTTTTATTCTAATCTTTATCATAGGCTTGCTGGGATACAGTTCATAAATCTGATTATTTCTGTGTGCCCAAGTTTTCTTCTGCTTGTAAAATATAGATTACCCACTGTGTAGAAATATTAAGAATCTTAACTTGGTAGAGGCTATAAAATATTTTTGGACTTCAGCTAGAAATAAAATTTTACCTTTTCGCCTATATCATCACATGTTAAGTCATTCAGATACACAAAGTCAAGTCCTGAGATTTTTATTCTTTGAGATGAAGAGAAAACTTTCAGCTAAAAGCAGAAATTAAAGATAATTTGCTTAGCAAGTCCATGATTCTTTTCTCCCTTTTCATTAGCCAATAAAAATTAGCCTGTCTGTAATTTACAGAATACTCCTTCAGCATGTACAGGCTTACACTATGCACATAATGGAATATTTAGAAGACATAAATTAGGTGACGGATTATAGAATTTATTTAGGAAAAGTTATAATTCTCTCAAAGATATAATGCTGATACTCATGTTTTTGTTCCAGGTTCATATTATCAAAAGATGCAATTGTCACCATCATAAAGTTCATTAGAAATAATTGTTCCTGGCAAGATAGGAAGCACTAGTGCTGGGGCTGCAAAGCAGACAAGGGGCCTTCACCCATGCCCTGCATACTACAGACTCTAAGAGGGCTCAGATTGACTCAGGAAAGTGGTGTGGGACACTCTGCCTCCGAGACACAAGCACTAGCTCCAGGGAACTGCTGTGATCTTCTTCAGTCAGAGGGTTGGTAATTTATTTCCAGGGCTTCCAGCATCAGTTGTCAG